TGCTGGATGGTTAAGATCAAGATAAAGCAGGACCTATATGACAAGAACTGTAGCTTTTGTATTTGATAAGATCAGTCAAATCCCCTCAGGATTTATCCTGAAACCCTGTACCGCACTTTGTAGATTGGATGACACTTTGAGCTGTTGACTTTTTATTAGTATGTATAAATAATACATTCATAGAATATTTTTCTCTAGATCTGTGAGACATGCTACTGGTATCTTGATAGGGACTGCATTAAATCTGTATAGAAGTTTGGGAAGGATGGCCATGTTCACTAAGTTCATTCTTCCTATCCAACAGCAAGGGATATTTTTCCATCTTCGGATAGCCTCTTTTATCTTCTTTTTTTAACACACTGTAATTTTCACTGTGAAGGTCTTTTACATCCTTTGCTAGATTGATCACTAAGTGTTTCATTTTTTATTTGGTAATATGAAGGTTTGGGTTTTCCTAATTTCTCTCTCAGTGAGTTTGTTGATTGTGTATAAGAATGCAATTGATTTTTTTTTTTTTCAGAACCAGGGATTGAACTCAGACCCTTGCACTTGCCAGGCAAGTGCTTTTTCCACTGAGCTATCTCCCCAGCCCCAAGTGATTTTTTTTTTTAATGTTAACTTTATATCCTGCTACACTACTGAATTTAGATATTAAATCTACAAGCTTTGGAGTATTTTGCAGAATATCATGTCATTTTCAAATAATGATAACTTTCTGTTCTTATCTTTATTTCTTTTTTCCTGTCTAATTACTCTGGCTATTGTTTTCAGAACTATATTGAATAGGAGTAGTGATAATGGACATCCTTTTCTTGCTATTTTAGAGTGAAAGCTTTCAGTTTTTGACCATTTAATATGATGTTACTTGTTGGTTTGTCATAGATGGCTTTTGACATTTTGTTGGTTTGTCATAGATGAGGAGACTCAGATATGAACCATCTATTCCAATTTTCTATAGAGGTCTTTTTTGTCATAAATGGGCGTTGGATTTCGTGAAATATTTTTCTGCATCTAGTGAGATGATCTTATGATTCTATTTATATTGTGTATTACATTTATTGAGTTTAATATGTTGAACAAACCCTGAACCAAAAGCACCCGCAACAATTTTATAGTTAATTTTCCAGGAAACCCCTGTCAGGACATTCTACTGACTCTAACTTCAGAATACCTACTAGTTTATGAGTCTGCTTGACAGGCTATATACTGCCCAGGTCGTTAGCTGTAGGTTTTCTCTAACTAACTCTTGGATTAATCTTACTTGGTCATGACATATAGTTTTTATGATTTGCTGCTTTCTGTTTGCCAGTGTATTATTAAGCATTTTTTGCATCTGTGTTCACTAGGGAGATTCACCTGTAGTTTTCTTCTCTGATATTGGAATCAGGGTAATACTAGCTTCCAGGAATGACTTTGGAGATATTGCTCCCTTTTCAATCTCCTTATAGAGTGTCAGAATTGGTGGTATTAGCTCTTCTCTGAATTTCTTAGAGTATTTAATAGTAAATCTGTCATGACTTCTCTTTGTTTGTAAATTTTTAACTATATTTCAATTTCATTGGCTAACTTATGCAGAATGTTTTATTTTCTAGATTTAGTTTTAACCATTGGATTGTGTCTTGAAATTTGTCCGTTTCTTCCATGTTTTTCCATCTCATTAGAATATAAGTTCTCATGGTTGGTATTTGTGATCTCCCAGCTTTCTTGGGGATCTATTGTGACTTCCTCTTTTCATTCGTACTTGCTTTGATTTGTGTTTTTTTCTTTCCTCTTTTTGACAATAATGAGAAAGCATCAAATAACTGCCATCCACAGTATCTATGTTCATCAGGCCCAGTAACAGCATTTCTGTTGTGAAAAACTATTGGAAAAATAGCCACTGGAATTACTTAAAGTCAACATTCACAGAAATGACATATTTAACCTGACCAGAGCATGAAGACCAGTGTGAAGGAGGAGAAAAACAAAAATAAAACCTTAAAACATGTTTTCTGGTCTGAATGTTCCCATTTTAGCCTCCGCAGTGCTGGGATTACAGGTATATATGCCACCATGCCCTGTCTGGGTGGCTGGCTCAGTGTGCCCAGGGGTGGGGCCTGTGGGCATGTGGTACCTGGATGGAACCCTGGTCCCTGCACTTGCCTTAGTCTGCTGTGCTATCTTGATGGCCTTTGTTCTCATATTAAATGATGAAATCTATGACCTGACATGGAGAACACATGGAAGCTGTTCTAGTTCCAAAATAGCTTTGTCAGTAAATTTCCCACAGTAAATACGGTAGTATATTTAGTGCCGTGACACTAGTCCTTACCCCTAAGGCAGTATAATGAGAGCTGGTCAACTGCTGTACAATACATGGCAAAGAAAAATGATTTTTTTCTCTGCTTATGAGAAAAGCAAAAGGGTTTCCTCCTTAGTCTACACCTTCTGTAGGTAAAAATATTCTCTGCAGGAGCCAGGCAATGTGTGTCTATGTTAATAAAGCCCAGCTCACTAGAGAGATCACAAAGTTCTGAATCTTCACTCCTCTTGAAGAAGTAAATCCCAATGGAGCTAGCTCTCTGATTTTCCTGGTACCTTGTAGCTTACATAGTCTTGGGACCTCCTCCAAGTTGCTTGACCTCCTTAAGCAATAAAGGCAATTTTATTTTTCTTTCATATCAAATGAAATAAGCAGACAAATGTGCACAGTAGTTTTTTAAGGAAAATATTACTGAGTGAGATGAAAACAAACATTCTTTCACTGTACAGTACCTAGAGCTTTGTGCAGAAACAAGGAGAGAGCCAGAGAAGCTTCATTTATTTATTTTTTATATTTTTAAATTAATTTTATTGAGAAAGAAATAGCAATGAGACAGTTTCAAAACAGGTTAGTAGGACAGTTACAATAGTTAGTACATTGCATATTGTTGTCTTCATGGTAGTTATTCATAGTACAAGATGCAGACATGATATCTTGTCTAAACACTATTAGTTCAAAACTTTCTTCTCACTTAACTAAGAGAAAGTATAAAAAGTAAATCCATATTAATATGCTGAGCTGTAAAGGCTCAAGTAAACAACTTCTGACATTGCCAGTCCTGCAGATAACCCACTACTATTATGGAGTACTGGACTATATTGGATTACTTTGGTGAATTCATGCACCTATAATATTTGAATGGCAACAGAATACCCACATCTGACAAAAGTAAACAAAAAAGAGGGATATAAATGAAGGGCCATTTTGTTGTGAAAAATAATATATATAATAGTTAGCAGAGAAGCTTTATTTATATCTGCTATTATCTAGGTCTTGCCTTATCTGACTAATACAAGGGCAGGATCAGACTTTCACTTCAGTGAAAATGGTAGGGAAGAACATGAAAATGTAGCAGGCCTGCATGTGCTGGAGGAAAGAGGATCCAGCTGAGGATTTGCTCTTGTGCCATCCGGAAACACAGTGCATTGAAAGAGACATTATACAAACCTGGTCATGTGTCAGTTCCTGGGAACCAAGTGTCTGATATATTCAAATGTGAGCAAGGTTCAAAGTGGCTAGAAGGTATCTGGAGGGAGGAGAAGGGACTTTATCAGATACATTCAGGTAAGAGAAGGCCAACCCTGCCTTGCACCCGGCTGATGCTTCTCTCCAGTGATGCTCTGCAGGAGGCATCATTCATGCGGACTCTGCATACGGGAACTGCTGCCCAAGAGACAGAGCTTGGCAGTGCTACCTCCACTAGTGACAGTACAACTCTCAAACTGGCGATCTGCTTTACTGCCTTGTGGGAAATAAACTGCAGAGCTCAATATCAGCTGTAGGATCTTTCTACTAACTGTAAATTCTAATCCAAGTTTCAAGGAGAATCTGAGATCTCTTTTATGAATATGAATATTAGTGAATAATATATTACAACAGATCCATGAATAAATAAATATTGGTGTACAATATACTGAAAGCTCCTTGCTCTGAAATCAGAAGCCTAGCAGAACACAATGTAGGGTAACAGGAGCTTTATGAATGACTACTATCTTCGCTTCTTGAATTCGGGTCATCAAAACAGCCACAGGAGTCTGCATTTTAAACCCTAACATTCTTCCTTGAGATCAGACTTGTTAATGAAAAACAATGAAAATCATTATTTCGTCCATAAAATGGA